CAGGAAAGGGGAAGGATGAAGATTTCAGTCTTTTTTTTTTTTTTTCTTTTTTTTAACACTATTGTTTTGATACAGAAAGATAAAGATTTAGGGGTTAGGAATGGGATTCCTTCTGAAGAGGTTGCTTTTCCCCTTCTTTCCTTTTCACCCTCCCTACTTACTTAGATTATTGTTTTAGTAACTACTCTTTCCAGTGTGTCCTGTGGGGATATGGAGACCAAAGAGAGCGTGTGTAAACAAAATAAACTCTGCCTTTGAGATGTACATGATTAATGTCAAGTTCTCAGGTACACTTTCAGAGGGTCAGAGAAATCTTGAAAGAGTTGGGATTTGAGCCAGCTGATTTTTAAGTTGTGAACTTTAAGGAATTGTATAATTCTAAAATAACTTTGGAAAGTTTACTGCTTAAGTACCTTCTTTGGTGTGATGTTAATTATGACCCTTTTTATGTGTGCTGGGTGAACCTGGGTTTTCCTGAGTAAGTTTTGTGTAAGCTATGTAACATCTGTGTCCTTGCCTGGGCCCCTGTGGGGAGATTGTTTTCCTGCCATGGCTGAGACTTACTGCAGAGCTCTGGGTTAGTAGAGTATAAGTACTCAAAAGTATTCCTCTCACAGGTTGTATTGATCATCTTATACTGATAACATGCCTTCCTTCTTGGCTATTATCAACTGTGTATTGATGTCCTTTCAAAAGAGGAGACATTCTTGATGGGAAAGACCTGATAGTGATTTTTGTTTATGGGAGAAAATCCTTTGCATGTTATAAACCTAACTCTGTATTTTTGAACAAATAACGTGAACATTGGTTCAATTGCTATTTGGTCTGTAGCACAACTGTTTATACTATATTAGAAATTATTACTAAATTTAAAAATCAAATAGGGAAAATGGACATCGAACAGTTTGTGACACATAGAATGCCATATGCCAGAAAAGTCCCTAAGGATAAAGCTCTTTTTAAGCCCCAGAAGATCTAGTTACTTCATAGGATGTTTATTAAAATACAATCTTAGAACAAGAAGCTTTTGGTAAATTACATAGAGAAATAGACATATTTGACTTTTAAGTGTACTGGTATTTGTATAGATGGTTTTCTCAGTCATTTGCTTAAATATTTCAATATTAGTAATTTGAATTGTCATACTTTAAAGAATCTTAGTGTATTCCTCTAGGGCCTGTTTTCTGGTGTTGGTATTGATCTAGAGATAAAAAATGTTTGACTAAATTGGAAGTTGCTCTTCTTTTTTTTGATTGGGGAGAAGGTTGGGTTAGTTCAGTGATAAGCAAATTTTTTGGTTTCAGGGCCCTTTTTTATGCTTACAAAATGTTGATAACCACAAAGAGCTTTCTTGGGTTATCAGTAATTGCTGTATTAGAAACTTCGAGAAATTTTAAAAATAATTATTCACTGATTTTAAAATGACAGACCCATTACATATTACGAAAAATAACTTTCTACCAGAGCAGAAAAATTTAGTGAATGGTATTTTATATTTTTGCAAAACTCTTTAATGTCTGGCTTCATAGAAAACAGGTTCTCTTATCTGGTTCAGCATACATTCTCTTGTGATAGGTTGAAGTATATAAAGAAAATCTGGCATCACACAGGTAGGTAGTTGAAAAATAGAGGAATATTTTAATAGCCTTTTTAGATAAATGTGGGTATTCTTTGACACTACACCCATACTTGACAATTAGTAATTTCATAAAGGTTAGTTGCACTGTGGAATCAAAAACTGCGTCAGTGAATTTTTTTGTGTTCTGTTACATTAAAACCCATTGGTTTGTTTTGCATTTGCTTTTACCTTTGCATGAGTTTCCAACATACAGTGGTCATTTGATCATTCACTTAAGTTATGCAGCTCTCCCAGATGTTGACACATATCATTACATGGTACCAAAAATTTCACATTCACTGATAATTAGAAGTAACCTGTTTAATTGGAAATAAGCTTTTTAAGTATTGGGAAAATGTTTGAGCTTGTGGTAGATAGATACAAGTTTCCAAAATACTTATTTTTGCTTGAAAACTCAGATTTTATCATAGGTAACAAACATCAGTGGTTTTCCTTGAAGCGGAAAACTTCACTTTGTTCATTTTTGAGAAAATATCTGCTAACTATTCAAGTCTGAATAACCATAGTTTGTCAGTTGTTCTGCCAAGTAAAAATAGTGTTCTCTGAAAAATGCTTCCAGTTCAGCTTGCAAATCAGTTGTATAATGCTTTCTCTCAGACTTCTTAAAGCGCAAAAGTTGCTTTACGTATACTTTTCTATTTAAAAATGTATACTCAAGAAAGTATGTACTCAAGATTGGAGATTTAAATAATACTCATAATTTCATCAAAGACATTGTTAGATGGAATGAGGTTTTGGGTTTTTTTTGTTTTTGTTTTTGTTTTTGTTTTTTTTACTGTAAATGAGTAGAGGATACAGTGACCAATGACTGTTAGTACATTTTGGTGCCTCTGCCTTGATTTATGTGAATGTACCCACAGTTTGGCTCAGCCTTGTTTTTACACCCTCATTGCAAACTTCTGTGCAGTAAGAGACAAATGATGTTTTACTGTTAGTATGAAAATAGCTTTGGTCTTGTGGACCCCTGAAATGCAAGCTCCTAAGAGGTTTGTAGACCATGCTTTAAGAATAACCGGCTTTTAACCTCTATGTTTATAGCAGCATTATTTGCAATAGCCAAGATACAAGCAGCCCAAGTGTTCATTGACTGATGAATGGGCCAAATCCATTCATATATGCGGCATATGTATACAATGGAATATTATTCAGCCACAAAAAGACTGAAATCTTGCCATTGCAACAACATGGATAAAAGCTAGGGAGTATAATGCAAGCAAAATAAGTCCATCAGAGAAAGACAAATACCATATGAATTCACTCATTTGTGGAATTTAGGAAACAAGACAAATTAAGCAAAGGGGAAAAAATAAGAGACAAATCAAGAATCACTTTTTTTTTTTTTTTTTAAGATTTTATTTATGGCAGATAGCAAGAGAGGGAACACAAGCATGGGGTGCTAGAAAGGGAGAATCAGTCTCCCCGCTAAGCAGGGAGCCCGGTGACTTGAGCTGAAGGTAGTCACTTAACGACTGAGCCATCGAGGTGCCCCAAGAAACACTCTTTTTTTTTTTTAAAGATTTTATTTATTTATTTGACAGAGAGAGAGAGAGAGATCACAAGTAGGCAGAGAGTGGGAAGCAGGCTCCCTGCTGAGCAGAGAGCCCGATGTGGGGCTTGATCCCAGGACCCTGAGATCATGACCCCAGCTGAAGGCAGAGGCCCAACCCACTGAGCCACCCAGGCACCACCAAGAAACACTCTTAATTATAAAGAACAAGTTGATGGTTATCAGATGGGAGGTGGATGGGGGGGATGGGGATGGGTAAATAGTTGGTAGGGATTAAGGAGGGCACCTGTTGTGATAGGCACTGAGTATGGAATTGTTGAATCACCATATTGTGTACCTAAAACTAATATAACATTGTGTTAACTACACTGGAATTAAAAACAACTTTAAAAGTAGTTGGCTTAGCTCTTTATATAAATTTCCTTTTCCTCTCAGACCAGATAAGTCCAAGGTGATACAGAAGAGGCAAATGACTGAGGTTTTTAGCTCGGGCTACTAAATGCAAGCAGTGCCATTACCTGAGATAATAAAACAGGGTGAAGAGTGTATTGGAAGAGGAGAGTGAATTTTGAGTTTCAGGGAGCTAGAGGATCATGGGGGTGGGAATGTCAGTTTGTGAAGCTCAGCAGTTTTTCTGAATGTTAGGAGGCCTTGTTGCTATATACCAGGTGGTTATGACCAGGGAAGTGAGTTGAGAGAGAAGAGGGCAGAAGGGACCTTGATGTCAAGGACATCAGGAAAGGAGGATTTCAAGAAGAATGAGGTGCTCAGCACTGCCTAATGCTTCAGAGAAGTCCCATAGAATGGGGATTGAGACTTGACCAGTTGGATTTGATAATGAGATTACTAGTGCCCTTTACCCGAGCAGTAGGGTTAGAAGCCGGCTGGGGAGTGAAGAGTGCAGAGGCAGCTGTTGATAGTATCCTTTCGAGAAGTTTTTGGGTAAAGGGGGAGCCTGGCTAGCTCAGAGGAGCATACGACTCGATCTGGGGTCATGAGTTTGAGCCTCACATTGGATGTAGAGATTAATTGAATAAACTTAAAAAGTTTTGGGGTAAAGGAAAAGAAATGTGTTGGGCAATTTCAGAGGTGGGCTGTACTGAGGACAATGAAAGGAGAGAAATTGGATGAAGCAAAAATACAGGTGTTACACATTTTGTCGGGTGAGCCGTCTTTCAGAGAAGTGAGAAGCTGATGATCACTGGATTCTCTGGCTAGAGAAATGCACAGACCTGTTTAGCGTACAAGCTTTTTGGTAGGAATAGGGAGTGCCTTACTAATTCTTTTCTGTTTAATTGCTAAGTGTTTGGTTTGATATATTTGCTTTGTTTTATTCTTAAAGATTGATTTATTTAGAGCGTGAGAGTGAGAGCCTGTGGACAGGGTTAGGGGCAGAGGGAGAGAAGAGAAGGATGCGGGGCTTGATCCCACGACTGTAAGATTGTGACCTGAGCTGAAATCAAGAGTCAGATACTCAACCGACTGAGGCACCCAGGCGTCCCAATACATTTGCTTTAAATCCACTAATTTCAAGAAGTTTTATAGTGAATTTTTTTTTTATGCAGGTGATTTAACTTTAACAGTCTGATTCCTTCAGAATGGAACTTCTGTTTTGGCTCTTATCAATCTTTGGTAACAAGTGATGAAGAAGAAGGGTGGAATTCTTTCTCTGTATAAGGATTGTCAACCCCTCCCCCCATATTTGAGTGTTCGGGTACCCAGAATAGTCATAGTGTTTTCCTTTCTGGAGGCAGAGTTTGGATTATAGCCTCAAGTTGTGTTTGTATTAAAAGATGTGAGTTGTTTTCTAATGTGCATGTATTTCTAACTTCCTTTTCTTTTTTTCTCTTTTAGTCTGTTCTCTGGGGAGGCAGTAAGGGGCCGAGGAGCTGGCCTCGGCACCGGGAGAGGCTGGACTTCCTGTCTCTCTGTGCTGAATGGCTGCGATGGCGCCCGCTCTCACTGACGCAGCAGCTGAAGCACACCATATCCGGTTCAAACTGGCTCCCCCATCCTCCACTTTGTCCCCTGGCAGTGCCGAAAATAACGGCAACGCCAACATCCTTATTGCTGCCAACGGAACCAAAAGAAAAGCCATTGCTGCCGAGGACCCCAGTCTAGACTTCCGAAATAATCCTACCAAGGAAGATTTGGGAAAGCTGCAACCACTGGTGGCATCTTACCTCTGCTCCGATGTAACATCTGTGCCCTCAAAGGAGTCGTTGAAATTGCAAGGTGTCTTCAGCAAGCAGACGGTCCTGAAATCTCATCCTCTCTTATCTCAGTCCTATGAACTCCGAGCTGAGCTGTTGGGGAGACAGCCAGTTTTGGAGTTTTCCTTAGAAAATCTTAGAACCATGAATACGAGTGGTCAGACAGCTCTGCCACAAGCACCTGTAAATGGGTTGGCTAAGAAATTGACTAAAAGTTCAACACATTCTGATCATGACAATTCCAATCCCCTCAATGGGGGAAAACGAGCTCTCACTTCATCTTCTCTTCAAGGGGGTGAAGTGGTGGCATCTGAATCTGGGGACTTGAAGGGGGGTATGACCAATTGCACTCTTCCACATAGAAGCCTTGATGTAGAACACACAACTATATTTAGCAATAATAGCACTGCAAACAAATCTTCTGTAAATTCCATGGAACAGCCGGCACTTCAAGGAAGCAGTAGATTATCACCTGGCACAGACTCCAGTTCTAACTTGGGGGGTGTCAAGTTAGAGGATAAAAAGTCTCCCCTGTCTTCCATTCTTTTCAGTGCTTTAGATTCTGACACAAGGATAACAGCTTTACTACGGAGGCAGGCTGATATCGAGAGCCGTGCCCGCAGGTTACAGAAGCGCTTACAGGTTGTGCAGGCCAAGCAGGTGGAGAGGCATATACAGCATCAGCTGGGTGGATTTTTAGAGAAAACTTGGAGCAAACTGCCAAACTTGGAGTCCTTGAGGCCCCGGAGCCAGTTGATGCTGACTCGAAAGGCTGAAGCTGCATTGAGAAAAGCTGCCAGTGAGGCCACCACTTCAGAGGGACTTAGCAATTTCCTGAAAAGCGATTCGATTTCCGAAGAATTGGAGAGATTTACAGCGAGTGGTATAGCCAACTTGAGGTGCAGTGAACGAGCGTTTGATTCAGACATCACTGACAGTAGTTCGGGAGGAGAGTCTGATATCGAAGAGGAAGAACTGACCAGAGCTGATCCCGAGCAGCGCCATGTACCCCTGTGAGTAAAACCCATGCATAATGTTGGTCTTGAGAAGTGTTAGGACAAGGGAGGAAGAATTAGCGAATTCCCATCATGGGGAGAATGGGGTTCTTTGTATATAGGTGCCTGTGTTCCATTTGTCTTTTTTCTAATTTTAGGTACGTGGTTGCATATACTTGCTAGTGAAGAAATGAAAGATATTTCTGGCATAGTATTGTGTTGCTGTAGATGTTGTTTATTAAGAAAAACCCAGAAGACATCCTATTTGTAAAACTGTGTACTTCTGTCAGAGTAAAGTTAGATTTCTTTTGAAACTGTATGTAGGGTATTTTTTGCAAGTCTCTGGCTTGACTTCAGATTCTCTTATTTCTAGTTAAGTGGGGACAGAAGTTTAGTTGACTTCGTTAACGTTTCCGGAATTTATAATTGCATTCATTCATTTATTTATTTTTAAACATAAACTCCACCCCCAACATGGGGCTTGACCTCACTCTCCAGGGTTCAGGAATTGTGTGCTCTACTGATTGAGCCAGCCAGGGGCCCCATAGTTGCTTTTAGTTAAACTTTCAGCAGAGAATGTACCCAATTTTCAGTTTTAATACTTGAGGTTTCCTTACACTTTAAGGACTGTAAGTCAGAAAATGCTTCAGAGTATTTTATAGGTGGCCTCCAAGTACAGTCACTTTAACAATTTGATTTACTACTTGATTTACTTCCTCAAAGAGCCCATCTTTATCAGATTTGAATTTTATTTTTTTTTTTAGTTAAATTTAATGTGCTGATGTATTTGGGATAAAATTTTTCTGGTTTTTCCAAATCTGTTGTTTTGAGGAAAATTCTGCACAAGCTTTGGCTGCCACTCCAAATTGGCCTGGTGAATCCAGGGGTACTTTACTCATGTCCTTTCCTCTTCTAGTGGCTCCTTACAGATAAACAGGAAGTATAGTATATCTCCTTAAAAATAAAGCAGTCTGCATTTGTCTACTTATGATAAGTGTTAGACATACGAGAGAGGGAAGCACGAGATGTTGGAGAAGAAGGTCAGGGGAGTTGACTAGTAGATCCTCTTTCATTTCCCTTTTTGGGCCAGGGATGTTACAAAGGTTAGATTGAAAGTAGGCTGAAATAGGTGGTTATGTTGGAATATTTAATTTTTCCTTGCCTGTAGTAAAAAAGTGACTGAGATTTTCACTGAAGACTCTGTTGAGACAGCCATGCTTTTAAGCATAAGTAAATCTCCTTTTTTCTCAGTGTTGTTTATATTATTTACATGGACAACTGTGCTTTATCTGAATATGAAGTTTCTATTTCATGGCTTATGTTTCTATTTCAAGGGAAAAGTCTGGATAATTTTGCTGAATTTCTTCCTTGTAGACCTAGTTCATTTTCTTTCATTAGCTTACTGACTTGAGAGTGCACATCTGTATTCACATCTAAAGCAGATTCATTTCAGAGGCTTGCGACTGATGTTAACATGGTTATCTTTCTTTAAGTGGATTAATGACTTAAACCAGCTTGCAAATATTTGTGGCATTATCCCACTGACTTGACTGCATTAGCCACTGCTTTAAAAAAAAAAAAATCTTGGTTAATGTTGAATATTTTGTGTCTTAAGAGAAATTTCATGAGACGTACTGTTGTTGATCCATTTTAAGTTTCATGTACTTCTTTTGTGTATTTGAGAAAAACTAGAATCTCTAAGCTTACTGTTTTCAAGATACTTTGTATTGAAAAACATTTCTAAGTTTTGGTAATGTGGGAAACTGTTCCAGTTCAGTGAAATCAAAATACCTACGTGAGCCCTTTTCTTGTTCTCTGGAATAGTCTAGTGATTTGAAAAGACTCCTTAGGCTTAGTCCGTTCACTCACTCCTTAGTTCTGAGCATTCCTATCGCGTAATGGTTTGTTGATTGGAAGGTTGTGAAGTATAAGGACAGCTAAGGGATCACGTTAGGAAACTTGTAATCATTTGAATCCTCTGACAATTAAATCAACTAAACAGCGCTTTAAAAATTTGAGTCTCTGAGTATCAGATCATATTAAAGTAAGGAAATTGGGGCATTAAAAGTACTGTGATGTATATATACTTTTTGCTCGTTATGGTATATAATTAAGTTTAAACTAAAACCACCAATAAAGCACAAGTATTTTAAAGTTTCTGTTGAGCAAGGTCACCAGACTGACTCCTGGGGCTGGTAGTTAGCCAGGTGTTCGTTGACCTTCTGAGTGTTTTATTAAAGGTTTTCAGCAGTTAGCCAGACAGTGAGAACGGAGGGATTACTTTGACTAAAATAGAAGAAAGGGGGCAGGTGGAGTGATTCTTTGGACACTGAGAAGCTTTTTCTTTGTGATTTAATAGTTCTTCCCAAATCTCCTAACCACATTTATAATTCTTGAGTCCTAGAATAAGAAGTTAGTTAACTGTTCAGGATCTTGACCCAGCTGGTGAATTTCAGCTTTTTTCTAAGGTAGCTTAATATTTCACTCCTTTGCTGAAGTACTCCTGCCAAAGATAAAATTGGCTAGATTTAGTTTAGGCAGCTGTGATGAAGATACTTAGCAGAGGAGACTGTTGAAATGAATTGTTTTTAAATGATGGTGCTTAAATTACAAGTGGATGGTTACGTGAAAATTACAAGCCTTCACCAAGAATTTGTGTTTTTTTCTTCTTTCCTTACTCCACGAGGAAAAACAGTAATCCATTGTAAGTCATAGGCACTTGCTAGCAGTAGTGGAATGATTGACTTTTATGTTGTTAAATTTTTGACAAATTGTGTATTATCGTATTATACTTTACAGTTAGTAAATTCTGTATTGCCAGATGAGGTATCTTAAGTTCATTCCCTTTTCCTGATTAATTTTTTTGGGTAACTGATTTTATTTAGTTTAAAACCATTGTTACACCTTTTTATTTTAAGCTCTTTTTGGAAAATCATCCTAAAACGCTTCATATATCTTCCTGTCTTGGTGCATTAATTACTTCTGAAATTCTGCACTGTACTGGGTGTGACCTGCATCGTTGTTTAGTAATATCACTGTGGAAGGAGGAGGAATTTAAATATTACCTCCTTGATGGAGGGACAAACAAGCAAGGAAGGTGTATGTTTCAGCAATCACCTTAATTTTTATTTAAAAAAAATTTTTTTTAATTCATTTGAGAGAGATACAGAGCACAAGCGGGGGGAGAGGCAGAGGGAGAGGGAGAAGCAGACTCCCCACTGGGCTGGGAGCCTCACAAGGGGCTGGATCCCAGGACCTGGAGGCCATTACCCGAACTGAAGGCAAATGCTCAACCATCTGAGCCATCCAGGCGTGCCTTAATTTTTAATTCTTAACCATAGAAATAGAAATAAAAGCATTCAGTTATCTCATGTGTATACAGTATAATTGTTGAGTATGTGCGTGCGTGTGTGTGCACGTGCATTCTCTCCTTTCCACTTTAATTTTCCTTTATATTCCTTCTTCTCTTTTCCCTTTAAGAGTTTTCTTCTGCTGTTTTGTTATGAATTCCTGGACCGATAATCTCATTTCGCTAAATTGGTTTTCATTTTCTTTGCCCTTGTACTTACAAACTTCTGTAGTAAGTACTTGCTGTTAAGAAAATAATTTTTTTCAGATACTCTCCCTCCCCCCCCAGATATTCTCTTAAATGTGTTCTTGGATAGCAGTGTTCTGGGTACCTGGATATTAATTATATAAAACTCTCTTTTCTAGAAAAAGAATATATATTTTTTTCGTTCAGAACTCTTACTGTAGGCTTATCTTGGTGGTCATTATAAAAAGAATCCCAAAGGGCAATGGGTGGCTCAGTTAGTTGGTTCAGTGTCTGCCTTCAGATCCAGTGTCCTAGGATGGAGTCCTGCATGGGGGCGGGGGGGGGGGGGGTCCTTGCTCAGCAGGGAGTCTGCTTTTCCCTCTCCCTCTGCCCCTCCCCCTGCTTGTGCTGTCGCTGTCTCAGTCTCTTAAGTAAATAAAATCTTAGGGGCGCCTGGGTGGCTCACTGGGGTAAAGCCTCTGCCTTCGGCTCAGGTCATGATCCCAGGGTCCTGGGATCAGGCCCCATATTGGGCTCTCTGCTCAGTAGGGAGCCTGCTTCTCCTCCTCCCTCTGCCTGCCTCTCTGCCTACTTGTGATCTCTGCCTGTCAAATAAATAAATAAATAAAATCTTAAAAAAAAAAAAGGTAAAATCTTAAAAGAATCTCATAAAATGTTTCATTAGGACTACTGAGATATATGTTGTTTTATATATATTACATACGTCTTTATATTACACATTGCCTTCTTTATAAGGATCTGAGGGAGAAAGATAAACAACCAAGACTAAGTGTTTTTTTTCCTTAAACTTCTAAGTCTGTGTCTGTTACGTGGATGCTATAATTTGTGTTGTTTACTAGGTTTCTATTTTCCTGTTGGCTTTTGGAAGTTTAGAGCCAAGTTTGTAGGTCCTGTACCTTTTTTAAAGCTTCATTCTTGGCTTCATTTTGTTCTCCTTGTTCTTGTTTTATTTTCATGCTTTTATTTCTGGCCTAATTTACACTAACCTATGTTTTATTTGATAGGCCCCTAAAGTCTGTTTCAGATCAAGGTTGGGTAAAAATAAACTAGACGTTCAGTTTAGTGACATTAAATAAATTATTGAATTTTGGATTATCTTGATTGCAGTGACTTTTCTTCTGGGGAATTTCATTCTCTTGGATTGTTAATAAAGATTTCAGTGTATAGTGAATTACTAGTGTGTTGGTAGGTTTTGCTTTTTAGGTTATCAGGGAGTGCTTTGTGTTGTAGCTTCCTGTTTAAGTATACACAAGTGATGTTGCCAGAGGAGGTAGTCAACTTGATTTGTCCTTATTTTCGTATTCCTTACCCTTTCACAGAATGATGGAACGAGAGGAGTAGTAGCCAGAACTAAGTCATATCTAACCCTTCTCTGCTATAGACTAGCTAGAGCGCTAATCATGTAACTACTTTTATAATAAAAATGAAGGAATTGCCTAGATAATTTCTGAGCCCAAAAGTC